CCAAGCGACTCAGATTCAGAAGCTGGCCCCACGAAAGTGGCAAGACATCTGGAGAGCCGCGGTGGAAAAAACACGACGTCGGATCTTTGGGGAGGGGGGGCCACGACATCGGGCCAGACGTGTTGGCAAGATCGATATGAGGTCTATTGTTGCTGTCGGCGTCTCGGAGACCTCCCCGTGCCCCGGGGACGTCAGCAGAACGACTCGGGGCGGAAACCAGAGGGTTCCAAAGGGGGTGTAGGGGAGTTGTTTTTCAAAGTGTATCCCTGGGGCCAGAGCCAACCAGGGAGACGTCCTGCGCATCGCAGGCCCCATGCGGCCCTTGGCCATCTGCGTCTGCCCACTGCATCCATCGCCCGCATCATGATCGCCGTCATGGGTGCGCAGTGGCCCTCCGGCTGCACATGAGCCATTAGACAATGACGCGTCCTCGTATTTCCTGATTGCGCCACGGACGCTGAAGCTGTTGCCGCATGTCGTAACAATTGCACCGATATGCGGGGAAGACATGGGTATGTGTTTCATGGACTTGGCTGCTGTTGGAGGCGGTATGACTCCCATGCGTGGTCCAGGCCAGGGAAGGCGAGTGACAGATGTTGGTCATGGTCACGGTCACTGTTCATGGAAGCGCGGTTTCCATGATTCTGTCGCCAGTTTATAGTCCGTCATCAGTTTCTACACGTGTTCTTCTACTTTGCAGAAGTTGCGCACGCTATCTGTGCGTAAACAGTTTTCGGTTCGGAGCGTCACGTTTCAATCCTGGTTGCGGTTACTAGTAATTGTGTTTCGACTGTTCTCTGGAAGCGACTCGCCGCAGTTCTGGAACAGCAGAAGTGACGGAAAGAGCGAGGGGCGAGCGAGTGACGTTGAGCAGGGGCGAAGCCCTCCTTAGGGGGAGTGCAGAGGGGGGTTGAGGCGGGAGTGTTGGGTTGGTAATGGCCCGTTTCCTTTTGTATTTATTCGAGTGAAGCGGTTCCCGGGCGGCTCCCATGGCCCGATTCTTCGTATCTGTTCGGGTGAAGCGGCCCAAGGGCCCCAAGACGGCCCAAGAGGGCCCCAAGACGGCCCCAAGAGAGCTTCAGATGGCCGCTAGACGGTCCAAGAGAATCTCGAGACGGCCCTGGAGGCCCTCAAGAGGGCCCCCTGAGAGAGCCTCCAGAGGCCAAAACTCTTGATTTCCCTATGGTGTTTTGCATGTTTTCGGGGTTCTCCCGTTTTCCGTCCCAGAAGGGCCCCAGACAGCCCAAGAGGCCCCGAAGATCGTCCCAAGACGGCCCCACAGGCGCCCCAAACGGGCCCAAACCGTCCGAGAGGGCCCCCAGACGGGCCCAAGACGGCCCAAGAGGCCCCAAAGATCGTCCCAAGACGGCCCCAGAGGCGCCCCAAAGGGGCCGCAAACGGCCCAAGATAGCCCCCAGACGGCCCAAGAGGGCCCCAATACGGCCAAGAGGGCCCCCAGGGCCCTAAGAGAGCTCAAGAGGGCCCCAATAGGCTCCCAAGCGGGCCCGAAGAGGAGGAGGGGGAGAAGGAGGAAGAGGAGGAGGAGGAGGAGGAGGAGGAGGAGGAGGAGGCTCCCAAGAACGAGCGGTGACGCAACCAGCTCTTACCACCAAGGCTCCCAAGAGCGAAGGGTGCCATGAGCCATCTCGGGCAGGTTGCTGCAGCGCTCTTTCCGTTTCCGTGCCGGCCCACGGGGCAGGCAACGAACCAAAACCGCGTTTTACACCGCAGGACGCATGCGCGTGCGGCCGTTTGAGAGCTTACACGAGCGCAGGAAGCAACAGCATCGTGGGCGCCCTTCACGACATTCCTGTTGGCGCGCACCGTCACCGCGCAGTGGCGAACGGGGGAAGCTTCCAGATCACCCGGCAGAGCAGAGCGGCAACGGCGCAGCGCCGCCTCCGCCCCCCTACGCTTTCCAGATATCCCAGGCCTCCTGTCCAGACATGGGGGGGAACAAATGTGAGGATCCTGGAGCTCCTCCTCCACCTGCTCCTGCTCCTCGATATGAGAAAGAGCGTGTTCTACCGCTGCTGGCGGAAAACCGGGGGGGGTCACTACCGGTTCGAACCCCTCCCCCCCCCCCCCCTCCGGAAAACCCGGGGGGGGGTCACTACCGGTTCGAACCCCTCCCCCCCCCCCCCCCCCCATGCTCATCATGGGGGGGGTCACTACCGGTTCGAACCCCTCCCCCCCCCCCCCCCCCCCCCCCCCTCCGGATCCGGAAAACCGGGGGGGGTCACTACCGGTTCGAAACCCCCCCCCCTCGAAAACCGAGTGGGGGTGCGGACAGTGGTGGGGACGGTGTTGGTGGGGACAGTGGTGAGGGGATAGCGGGACAGTGGTGGGGACAGTGGGACAGTGGGACAGTGGTGGGGACGGTAGTGGTGGGGACAGTGGTGGGGACAATGGTGGGAACAGGGGGGGACAGTGGACAGTGGTGGTGACGGTGGTGGTGGGGACAGTGGTGTGGGGACAATGGGAATGAGGTGGAAACAGTGGGACAGTGGAGGGTACAATGGTGGTGGGGACAGTGGTGAAGGCGGTGGCGAGGACGGCGGTGGGACAATGGGACAGAGGTACAGTGGGGACAGTGGTGGGGACAGTGGGGACAGTGGTGGGAACAGTGGGACAGCTCAGTGGGACAGCGGAGGAGTCAGTGGGACAGTGGGGACAGTGGGGATAGTCGGGCAGTGGTTGGGGCCGTGGAGACAGTGGGGAGAGTGGAACCGTGGTGGGAACAGTTCTGGGGACAGCGGGGACAGTGCGACAGTGGTGGGGCCACTGGTGGGGACAGTAGGGGCGGTGGTGGAACCAGTGGGGACAGCGGTGGTGAGGACAGTGGTGCTGGGAACACCAGTGGGGGATGTGATGCGGACGGTGGTGGGGACCGGGAGTCGTTTGCTGGCGGTGAGTAGGGGGGGGGGGGGGGGGGGGTCGAACCGGTAGTGACCCCCCCCGGTTTTCCGGATCCGGAGGGGGGGGGGGAGGGGGGGGTTCGAACCGGTAGTGACCCCCCCGGTTTTCGAGCGGGGGGGGGGGGGGGGGGGGGGGGGTTAGGGGAGGGGGGTTTTGCCGGGGGAGGGGGGGGGGGGGTGGGAGGGGAGGGGTTCCAGCAGGGGAGGGGGGGATTTTCGGAGGGGGGGGGGGGCGACCCCCGGGTTCCGGAGGAAAAGGTTGGCAATTTTCCATAGTAAAGCGGCGGTGGATCACGCTCTCTCCGATATAATCTAGGCCTCCTTTATCATATCTTTGGCCTAGGTATGACCTAGGCCTCCTAGATCATATTTAGGCCTCTTATCCTAGATCTGAAGAGTTGGCCTTGGGGAGCGTGTCAGTTAAGGGCCTAGACTGACGCTCTCACCCCATCTGGGAGGCCTAGACACTAGGCCTCCCAGATGGGGTCGGAGTCGATGGGGTCGGAGGATCGCTCCGTATCGCCGATGCATCGGCGATGCGGCTCGATGTCGAGGTCCGATTTCCTTCACGTCGACGTCGCCGATGCATCGCCCACGTCGACGATGCATCGCCCGTGCATCGCTGACGCCTCGCCGATGCATCGCCGATGCATCGGCGATGCGGCGCGATCCCCCGACTCCATCTACTCCGATCCCGTCGAGGAGGCCTCTATATTGCAGTGGTGGGGACCCTGGGGAGGGAGACGTTGCGGAAGCCGCCACGCCTGGCGCCCCAGGAAAGGCCTCACCTTCGAGGGGGTCTCGAGGTGGGTCTCCTCTTTCTTCCTCGTCGGAGGGCGGCGGAGGTGGGATGGGGCGGCTCCGCTGGCGGGTGCCAGCGGAGGTGAAGAAACTGGAGGTTCGGGGTCAGAGTTGAGTCGGGCCTGTCCCTCTACAGGAGGAATATACAAAATAGTTGAAACATAATTAGTCTGGGGACGATTCTTTTGTGTGGTTTGAGTATTTGCTGATTGTTTTTAGCCCCAAACCCGCCTGTAGGGGGGACAGGCCAGACTTCAGGTCAGAGCGAAGTGCGCCCAACCGGGACATTTGTTTGCTTGTCGGTTCGTGTCTCGCACGCAGGCGAGGGGGAATTGCGCGAGGGCGATGATGTGTCGGCCAAGGCCTAGGGTCAAGTTGGCGAAAGGTTAATTCTGCCTCCCAGATGGGGTCGGAGCAGCTGGGGTCGGAGGATCGCTCCGCATCGTCGATGCATCGGCGATGCGGTTCGATGTCGAGCCCGATTTCCTTCACGTCGACGTCGCCGATGCATCGCCCACGTCGGCGATGCCTCGCCGGTGCATCGCTGACGCCTCGCCGATGCATCGCCGATGCATCGGCGATGCATCGGCGATGCGGCGCGATCCCCCGACCCCATCTGCTCCGACCCCATCTAGGAGGCCTCTATATTGAAGTGGTGGGGACTCTGGGGAGGGAGACGTTGCAGAAGCCGCCACGCCTGGCGCCCCAGGAAATGCCTCACCTTCGAGGAGGTCTCGAGGTGGGTCTCCTCTTTCTTCCTCGTCGGAGGGCGGCGGAGGTGGGATGGGGCGGCTCCGCTGGCGGGTGCCAGCGGAGGTGAAGAAACTGGAGGTTCGGGGTCAGAGTTGAGTCGGGCCTGTCCCTCTACAGGAGGAATATACAAAATAGTTGAAACATAGTCTGGGGACGATTTTTTTTGTGTATTTTAAACATTTTTTATCATTCGCTCGCCCGAAACCCGCCTGTAGGAGGACAAGCCCGACTTAAGGTCAGAGCGAAGTGCGCCCAACTGGGACATGGGACATGGGCTTGTTTTTCGGTTCGTGTCCTGCATGCAGGCGAGGGGAGATTGCGCGAGGGCGATGATGTGTCGGCCAAGGCCTAGGGCCAAGTTGACGGTTTTCCCGTGGTCGTTGATTGTTCCATGCATCGTTTTGTTATTGTTTCGTGGGTCGTTCCGCGGAGCGTTTTGGCTCAAGCCAGTTTGGCTCAAGCCGCTTCGCTCAAGGATGATGATGGGGAGGCGCAGATGGAGCAAGCCGCCATGACGTCAGACTTCGGATGCTAGGCACCCGTATAAGATCTCGAGATGGCGCTGTTCCGTTCGAAGTGGCAGTCGAGAAGTATAGCCGGACGAGGCAGTGGAGCGCAGCACTGCAGCTGCTCCGCAAGAGCCTCCAGTCGGGTGCGCATCTTTCCCCAGGCCACTACATCACGATTGTCAGCGCATGCAGAAAAGCCGGGCAGTGGCAGCACGCACTTTCGGTGCTCAACGCGATGTGGGAGGCGAAGGTGAAGCCCAACGTCATCACAATGCCAGAACCTCTGCGTGCGAGAGGGCATTGTGCATCAATCGCTTTTTGTATTAAAAAAGGTTTCGGGGGGCCTGGCACGCGCCCCCGGGGCAGCTTGGACAGCCCTGCAGGCCTCGGGCCACGCCCCTTACAAGGCCCAGCGGAGCCCAAAGACGGCCGAAGAGGGCGCCCAAGTCGGCCCCCACCGCCCAAGAGGCCCCCAAGGCGGCCGAAGACCCAGAGAAGCCAAAATCACCGATTTCGTTTCTGGGTGTCTGAAGGATCTCCACGTCCTCGCCTGTTCGGGCCTGCGGTGCTGCAAGACGGCCCACGAGGCCCCCACTATCGCCCCAAGGCGGCCCAGCAGGCCCCCAGGAGCGACCCGAGAGGAGACCAGATGTTCGGCAACACGCGCGCCGCGGCCACGGAGGCATTCGTGTGCTGGCCTCTTCTCGTGCCTCCCTGCTCCCTTCTCGCTCCTCGCTCCTCGCTCCTCGCCGCTCTCTCGGCGCTCCTCGCCTCCCTCTCCTCGCCCCTGGCTCCAGCTCGACATCGAGGCTGCAGGAGCTCAGCGCTCCGACCTCCAGCCTCCAGCATCCCACTTCCCACTTCCACTTCCACCCATCGACCTCCACCCGACAGCAGACCAGCGCTCCGACCTCAAGCCTCCAACACTCGACTCCCCACTTCTCCCTCCACCCATCAACCTCGAGCCCTCCCAAACTCACCACTCCGACCTCTAGCCTCCAGCATCTGACTTGCCAATGCCTTACCCAGCCCAACCTCACGTCTTGCCCGTCCAACGAGGCCGCGGAGGAGGAAGAGGGGGAAGAGGAGCACGAGCCTACAGCACAGCGTCTGGCGACGTTCCGTTGTGCACCCTGAATCCGCGGCACACGACAGCCGCTTCCAGACGGGAGATTCCCGATGGAATAATTGAAGTACAGTGGGGTCGAGCATCAAGAAACCATGTGTTTTTCGTCAGGGTATCCTGTGTTTCGTTGCTCCGCGCGCCGCGCGTTAACTTCCCGCGGCCCTTGAAGGAGCTGCTGCGTTCCTGGTGCTCCCGGTCTCCCCTCTGGTGCACCTCGCGCGCGGGTTCGCAGAGGCGTTTTTTTTGCGAGGGCTTCTTGTGGCCGCGCCCGCCCTGTACAGGGTCCGACTAGAACAAGGAACACTTACTTTTCAAAAGGGGCTCGGTCGTTCCTTTGGTTGGCATGCGTTCCGCTACCTTTTCCGGCGGCGAGGCCCCCTGGTGTTCTTTCGGATTTCCTGGATTTACTTGGAATGAAAGGGGCTTCGTTCCTTATTATCTTGCACAGCTGTGTTGTAGAGCTCGGACCTCTTTATTTTTGTGGTTCGTGGTTCGTCCTCCTCTCCTGGTTCGTCCTCTTCCCCTGGCCTCCCCCCTGGCTTCCTCGATCCCCGGGGCCTCCCAGGGCAGCTCCCCTGGGTCGCGGAACCCTTTCTGCTGGTGATTCGTGGCTCGTCCTCCTCCCCCAGTCCTTCGTTGTCTGACTGTGCAAGAGCCAGGGCATGCGTGCCACTTGTTCATCGTTCCCTAGGTCAGGCCGAATACTGTAGTCGCTCGTTCGATGCAGGCGTTCCCGCGGCAGCATGCCCGCGTCCGACCGACACCGGCTCGGCACTCGAGCCTCCTGGCCTCCGCCATCCGACTTCCCGCCTCTGCTCCCCCGACCACCGACATTAAGTCGGGCCTGTCCTCCTACAGAAGGAATTTGGACGAAAAACAAAAGATACCCCACACATGCCACAAAATGGTTAAACAAGTGCTAGAAAAATCGTCCCCGTATTATTTTTTGACTATTTTTGATTATTCCCCCTGTAGAGGGAGAGGCCCGACTTAAAGCGACAGCCAGCCGACCACAGATCAACACAGCGTTAAGTTGGGCGTGTCCCTCTGCAGGAGGCATAGAATCCAAAGCGGTCACAACATAGTCTGGGGACGATGTTTGACTCTTTTGGAGCGTTCTGGGGGATTTGTTTTCATATTTTTCGTTAAAAATCCGCCTGTAGGGGGGGGAGGAGAAGAGGAGGAGGAGGAGGAGGAGGAGGAGGAGGAGGAGGAGGAGGAGTACGAGTAGGAGTAGGAGTAGGAGTAGAAGTAGGAGGAGGAGGAGGAGGAGAAGGAGGAGGACATGCACGACCGAAACATAGCGACCTCAGGCTCTCGACAACCCAAGCCCACCTCCACCCATTGACCTCCAGCTCCCACCAGCGTGGCAGCCCGACCTCTGGCGTCCAGCCTCCGACTCCCTTCAGCATCCATCTCTCGACCTCCAGCTTCCACCAGCTCGACACTCCGACTTCCAGCCTCCAGCATCCAACTTCGCACATCAACCTCCACCTATCCGCCTCCAGCCGACAGCGTCCGACGTCCCGCATTCACCTCCACCAATCGCCCTCCAGGCTTCAACAGCTCAGCGCTCCGACCTCCAACCTCCAGCATTTGGCTTCACAGTTTCACCTCGACCTAGTGACATTCGGCCGACAGCAGACCAGCACGCCGACATCCAGCCTCTAGAACTCGACTCCCCACTTCCACCTCAGCCTCCACCTATCGACTTCAACCCCTCCCGAACTCATCATTCAGACCACAGATCAACACAGCGTTAAGTTGGGCGTGTCCCTCTGCAGGAGGCATAGAATCCAAAGTGGTCACAAAATAGTCTGGGGACGATGTTTGACTCTTTTGGAGCGTTCTGGGGGATTGTTTAAAATATTTTTCATCAAAAATCCGCCTGTATGGGGGGGAGGAGGAGGAGGAGGAGGAGGAGGAGGAGGAGGAGGAGGAGGAGGAGGAGGAGGAGGAGGAGTAGGAGTAGAGTAGGAGAGGAGGAGGAGGAGGAGGAGGAGGAGGACATGCACGACCGAAACATGGCGACCTCAGGCTCTCGACAACCCAAGCCCACCTCCACCCATTGACCTCCAGCTCCCACCAGCGTGGCAGCCTGACCTCTGGCGTCCAGCCTCCGACTCCCTTCAGCATCCATCTCTCGACCTCCAGCTTCTACCAGCTCGACACTCCGACTTCCAGCCTCCAGCATCCAACTTCGCACATCAACCTCCACCTATCCGCCTCCAGCCGACAGCGTCCGACGTCCCGCATTCACCTCCACCAATCGTCCTCCAGGCTTCAACAGCTCAGCGCTCCGACCTCCAACCTCCAGCATTTGGCTTCACAGTTTCACCTCGACCTAGTGACATTCGGCCGACAGCAGACCAGCACGCCGACATCCAGCCTCTAGAACTCGACTCCCCACTTCCACCTCAGCCTCCACCTATCGACTTCAAGCCCTCCCGAACTCATCATTCAGACCTCCAGCCTCCAGCATCTGACTTGACGATGCCCGACCTAGCCCAACCCAACGTCTTGCCCAACTATCGAGGAGGCCCTTGAGGAGGAAGAGGGGGAAGAGGAGCACGGGCCTGCAGCACGACGTCCGGCGACGTTCCGTCGTGCAGCCTGCACCAGCGGCACATACCATCCGTTTCCAGACGGGAGGTGCCCAGTGATAGAATTGGCGTGGGCGTATTTTCGGCTTCCCACTTCCACCCCGACCTGTCGACGCCCAGCCGACAGCAGACCAGCACTCCGACCTCCAGCCTCCAGCACTCGACTCCCCACGTTCCACCTCCGCCTGTCGGCCTCAGGCCACCCGAAAAACTCCCCGCTCCGGCCTCCAGCACTGCACAACGCCCTGCTCAGCCCAGCCTCTTGTCTTGCCCAGGCGAGGAGGCCGTGGAGGAGGGGGAGGCAGACGAGACTACAGCACGGCACCCGCCGACGTTCCGTCGTGCGTCGTGCGCCAGCGGCGTGCGACATCCGATTCCAGATGGGGGATATTGGTTGGCAGAAGTGATCTGGGCGTGCCTTCGAGTCCAGCTCTTTGATGGCAACCTGCCGGCTTCAGCCGTGGTGAAGGGAGAGCCGTTTATACCAAAATCGACAGCCATTGCCTACAGATCCCTCGCGGCCACGGCGCACCAATCGGAAAGAATTGCCAGCCCGAGCGCCATCCAACAAACAGTGACAGCGCTCTACTGCTGACGATCGTCTGCACGTTCGCTCGACGACGACTGCATCGACGAAATCATCAACGAGCTTGGACTCACATATTGGAACTTTGTCTTGTTGAATACATATGTGAGGAGATCGGCCCCAGAAACATGGGAGACGAGTGATAATAATGTGTTTCGCTGGTTCTGGTCATGATCGGCCTGCTAATGGAGTTGGGGTGCTGGTGCAACAGCGCTGGAACAGGCACGTCAAGGAGTTCCGAGCCATGGCGCCAGGCTAGAAACACTTTGCGCACGACGGGGCCACGCGAATGTGTTGCTACTTGTTGCCTTAGGTCGGGCATGCCCCTCTACAGGAGGAAAATTCAAGAATAATAAAAATTATCCTGGCGAAGGACCCAACCATATGCAATTGTGAGTACCGCAATTGTGAATATCTTCTTCGGTGGCGCTCCCTATGGGGCCACGAAGCGTGTAAGGGTGTGCCGAAATGGGTGTGCGGGACGCATGTGGGCACACTCACTGGGGCCTTCGGTGGTGCTCCCTATGGGGCCACGAAACGTGTGAAAGGTGTGCCGACATGGGTGTGCGGGACGCATGCGGGCACACCCGCTGGGACCTTCGGTGGAGCCCTCTACGGGGCCACGAAACGTGCGAGGGGTGGGCCGAAATGGGTGTGCGGGACGCATGCGGGCACACCCACTGGGGCCTCCGGCGGAGCTCCCTATGGGGCCACGAAACGCGTGAAGGGTCACGAAACGCGAGAGGGGTGTGCCAACATGGGTGTGCGGGACGCATGCGGGCGGCAGCACTGGGGCCTTCGGCGGAGCTCCCTATGGGGCCACGAAGCGTGTGAAGGGTATGCCGAAATGGGTGTGCGGGACGCATGCGGGCGGCAGGGGCGGGGGGCGCTCCGCCATGGAGCTCCCTATGGAGCCACGAAACGTGTGAGGGGTGTGCCGAAATGGG